TCACCCTTTACCCCGAGAAATCGCAAACACAGGGGTCCCACTCCGGAGCAACCGGTTGCGAGCGGGGTCAACGCATTTCTGCATGAAGTCAGATGCACATAGATGTAGTTCCGCTGCATTTTGGTAAGAGACAGAGCCAAACTCGAGGGCAAAAAAGCGCCGACCTCTCTGCAACGGTAGCCGCCAGAGTCGTGTGCCAAAAAGCCGGGACGTGTTGCCTCCGCCGAGTAGTGATGATTGGTGAACCGAGCCGGTCAACACAAGAGGTCTCTTCGTCCCCCCACTGCGCTCCCGCGACACCACAAACAATAAACGAGGATATCCTTCATGCCATTTTCAAATTCCTTCATGCCATTTTCAAATTTTCTCTTCCTTTTGGTTGTTTGATCGTGTGTGGTCCTTCTTCCACACAACCAACACACCCTGTGGATGAATCTCCCTTCCACTTCTCAAGCGATGGTCCCGTGCTGGTCGCACTTTTAGCTCGACAAGGCGTGGAATACTAAAACTACATACGGTGCTCCTCGGAGCGCTCATCTCGAAAACAGGACAACAACGATGCCTTGGACACTGCTGTCTTGAGTCATGCGATAAAACATACGAGTACGAGTGTAAAGAGATTTTTGACAGAGGATAACAAAATCGTGTTGCGGCGACCAAAAATCAACATGCCGTGGGAAGAGACTGGAGAAGGAGTCCCTTCGTCGTAGATGATGGGTGTCTTGGTCAAAAGGTGTTGGAAGGCCCTGCAGATAGAAGATGTGGTCCACCTTCAGGTCCAGAACGAACTGGTGGCATTCAGTTTCTGTCAAGCAGTGCGGGCAGAAGGAAATAGAGCAGGCACACGTAGTAACTGAGGTGCACGGCAGGTTCTACTAACTATGCTACAGGAAATATCATTGCCGCCTTGGAAACTCCATCGGACTCCCATGCCGTTGTTGCCGTAGGGCACACATACACACAACTCGGGCAAAACTGCCACACGGAAGATGACCCACTCCAAACTTGAGCGGGTGTGTGTTTGGCTCGCTATTCAATAGGCCTTCGGGAAATGTTAAGGTCATTGCTGCGTTGTTCATGAACGGGTGAACCCAGAAATGCCTACTTGTTTCCCAGTTCCGCTTGCCATCTTAGACTAGTCTACGTCGAAGGGAGAATATACATACAGCGCTCGATACACAGGTCATCTTCGATGTTGTTCTTGCTGGCACCACACTCCCTATAGTAAGCGCAACAGCAACGGCACGGCCAACACCAAGTGCAACACCAACAGCAGAGGTCGACGCTCGCAGATAGGACATGAGACGAAAACAGCGTGCTACACCCTCACCCAGCCGAGGTAGCGGTCGCCGACAACCACCAGTGTGCGAGCGCGGTGTCCGCAATTAGGAACTCCGCCGCCGCCTTGTCATCGGCGGTGGTGTCCAGGTAGGTCGTCGTGGCGACCGACTTAGTGCCCGAACGGGAGGCTTTGGAGACGAAGGTCCCCGAAGCGGCCGTGGCGATCACAGCGGCGGACGAGTCCGTGGAGACGGACGGGTGGCGCTTGGCCTGGAAACTCGAGACACCTGCGGACGTTCTCGGCGCTTCCCCACCTGCTGTGCAAGCTGTTTGTTCGATAGGACAGAGTCGACGGGCGCGGGAGGGAAGCACCACCGCAAAACAGGGAGGCATGCAAGTTGGATGACCATAAAACCGGGGGACAAACAAGTAAGCGGGCCGGTTTTGCTTGCTGTATACATAAAATACATTCCTTTAATCACGTCTGGTGGGATGGAATGGCCGAAATACGCCAACGAAGTGCTTGAAGAAGACGGTTGTGCATCACTTCGCCCCCGACTTCCCCCTAGATTGCTCAAAGGAGTAGAAAATATCCTACTGGGCATGGTATTGCGAAGTACTATCCGCAGCTTGCAAGCAAATTATCCCATCAATGAAGCATCGCAGAACACACCTTGTATGAAGTCGTCAGTGATACCTGGTAAAGAACAACCACCTGCACCCATCGCCAAAACAATGTCATCACAGTCTTAAAAAAGCACCCACCGACAAAGGGGACTTGAAACAGAGAACAAACGGCCGAAACCGTTTGCTGGCAAGTCTACCGAGCAACCGTCATGCCGTTTTGGTATCGTACCTGGGGCTGGGCAGCTCAGTAGAGAAGTCGGTGTGGGCGTTGTTTTCGCCTGCAAAATTGAAAAAACGCAACAAGAGAGCACACAGAACGTTGTATTTGTACGCCCGCGTTTTGTGAGACACACAGGAAAAGTGTTGCGCTCTTGACGCCGCTCGCGACCGGGTTTGTGCCTTGCTTGGTTTCTAACATGACATTTTGTTGGGAGAGGGCATGGGACGAATCTACTCGAACACCCGTCTTTCAACGTTTCAACATTCGCTTTACTCTCTAGACTATAGGGAAAACATTGACGGTACAAAAACCATGCACTGAGGTGTTGAGTGTTTGACTGATTCCTGAAATCGTTGTCTCCCATGCACCGTGCGAGTAGGAAGTAAACACAAACTGGTAGATGACGAGCTGCAACATGACCATTCCCATCCGATGAAGACGTTGACGACCAACCTATTCGTAATGGGTAAGCACACCCTTCCACCAAATATTTGACGTCTCGCGAGTCATCGTTTCGGCTGAGGTTGTGATGCCCACATATGCATATGTACCACGATCGCTCGTCCAAAGCCTTGCTCAAAGCAAGCGCTCAAAGGGTATCCACGGGCGTGAGTATAGGCGATCTCTGCACACAATGTGTGTGTGTCCCACGACTAGCGTACACCACATCGGCAACACGTTCACATGTATGCTGACCTTCCTGAGGCTGCTTGAGCTGCATGGCCAGCTGAGCCTTCAGGAGCTTGATCTCCTCGTCCTTGTCCTGATTGGCCTTAACGAGCTGAGCGTTGTCCTGTCATCATTTGCCCACCGCACAGAGCGCAAGGGGGCGGAGGACGCGATGGTGGTGGTATCATTACATGTTGTCACAGCTACTGCGGCTCCACACTCATCTTGATCTACCTTAGGTTTGGCCCTCGAGGTTGGGTACCTGAAGCGTTGTTCACGATAGAGAGCACTGCTTTGCTGGGTAGAGCGTGACCAGGGCGTCATTCAAACGTGCGTCGAATGTTTTCTACCCCATCGACCTCACCGTGTAGAACCGCGGTAGGATTGCAACAACGTCAACCGGAGAAACCTACTAGGAATTCTCGTGAAATTGTGTACTCAGTGCGCACACAGTTAGCAGCAGCAGCAGCAGCAGCAGCAGTTTCCCTCCTGTTGTCATCCTGTCACAACCCACTGCATGACCCACCTGCTTCAGAGAGGATATCTCCGCATCCTTGTGGCTGAGCGCCGTCTCTCCGTCCCGAAGAGAGCAGAGGAAGTCGGATCGAAACTGGTCATAGAGGTCGTGGCCAGTCTGCACCTGTGGTCACGAGCGTCGAGCCAGCGATGTAGCGGAAACACCGTATCAGTGGGTAGATACAATGCACGTTCCACCCGCACAGCCTGAACCCGTATGCTTATGGTACCAAGCACTTGAACAAAGCGTCAAGTGTGGTAGGCGTACTACTATAGTGGCTACAGCACAAACACAGGGTGTGTGTGCGATCGATTGCGGTTGTGCGTGGGCTGAGAAATGGTTTCGCCCGAAATCCACCGTTTTAGAGCATTATTTCGCAACGTTTGCTTTGTTACGTTTGGAATCAGGAAGGAGAGCATCGCCAAGGGTATAGTTTCCATTGAGTCGGTTTTCCCTCTCACATGACAAACGTTAAGAGACTTTAGACATCCTAAACTGGTACCCCCCCCCCCCCCCCTCTACCAATAGTTGACTCACATCTGCCTCCAAGCAGGCAAGTTTGTTCTCGAGCAGGGCATTGGCGCCGGTAAGCGAGTCCACGGTTCTTTCGGCGCACCACATGTAGTGCGAGAAATCCCTCACGGTCGCGGCGTTCGACCGCTGAAGGTCGCTGAACTGGAGGTGGAGAGTGAATAGCTGCAAGACCGTGACGTTCGCGAAAGTGGAAGACAGGCGACGTCATAAGAAGACCAAAGGAGGGGGGGCAAGGGAGGGAGGAGGAGGGCATATGCTTCAGATCGATTTAGTCATCGAACTCAAAACTGAAACACCACGTAGCTACTGTAAGAGAACAGCAAATTGTCATCCCCGTTCTGCTGCGTGCGGGATATATAGAAGTATATATTCGTATTCTGTCGTCCACATGGCCCATGTGGAGGAGGTAGCACAGTATGTGGGTCTGTCATCAAAGTTCATTATCTAACGGCGGCCGCCGAATCATGGTGAGTCCAACGAAATGATAGGACTTTACGGCTGCCAAGAAACTCACGACAAGAGCCGGAGGATGCTTAATAACACCGACAGGGGTGTGATCGGGGTGTGTCCTCACCTGCTTGTCTTGCAGCTTGATCCTTTGCCGGTACGAGGCTTGAAGGTTACTGAAATGCACACAAAGGAGATACAGCAGCAGCAGCAGCAGCAGCAGGAGCATGTTTACCAAAAAAATGTTTGACGCAGTTGAAACAAGAGCGGTAGCTGATTCTACCTCAAACCACAGCAGAGTTGAGCTCAACTTCGTTCGAATGACGCTTCAGCTGGTGCCGTTCCTCAAGGGCCGTGAGGTTTAGCTCTAATTTCACCCCGCCGGTACGGATGGGAGAGTGACTGATCCTGACACATGCACACACCAACATCCACACAAACATCTCTTGCTGCGAGTGAACGCCCCTTGGCGTACTGTGGGTGGGAGAGACTTGTGCTTGGTAAGTACATCTTGCCATACCCAACATCTTCATCCCCCGTGACTTCCGCCTGTCAATGTTTTCTCCCCAGATAACACCCAGCCTAGACCGGCATGTAACACTGCACAACCCTATGTAGCCATGTCTATTGAAAATTGTTCGTGTTTACTTACGTCGATTGGACGTCCAAAATGGACGCCAGTTCCACCATCCGGCACTTGACCCGGAGCTTCTTCTTGAGCGCCTTGACCTGCGCCTTGTGCTTCGCGGACATCACAACTCGCCTGGTGTTGCCGAATTGTACGGCAGTGCGAAGGCAACGCTCGGCCAACCCATAGAAGTGAGCCTAGGGTACAAACGAATTGTGAACGCAAACAGAATATATATGCAACACAGGAGCAGAGAGGGATGTTAGCGATGGCGCTGGTTCTTCTTTCGCATGGTACGCGTGGCACGAGATTTCAGGCGATGGGTGCTGCCCGTTGCATCGAGCTCTGCGTGAGTAAACCTCTCCCGGGCGTGGATGCACTCAGTCCTATTTGCAGCTAAGCTTTCAACGGAGCAGACAGGAGCGAAGTGTTTCCTCGTTCTCACGCCGAATGTTCCATCGGCACACACTGCCCACACACTACCGTAGCTACAGTGATGTTTTTCTGCAGACATGCCGTGCAGCTCTTCCATATACCTGGTACACCGTACGTGTCAAATCCACACCCATCTCACGTGAAGGAGAATTACGAGGACGAAGCCAAGCGTCTTAACGAATGAATCGAAGAGCATCGTGGTGAACATTAAGGCCTGTGGGGTTGACATGTCATGCGGAGGCGGCGGTGTGGTGAGGTGGACACAGCAGGGACAGGTTAGCTTTCGGTCGAACCCTATCTCGTGGGAGACTATCAAACCAGGTTCCATGCAATCCTGGGACGGGTTCTCGCCAGACGTAACTTATGAGGACAGCACCCTCTGTTATTTTAAGACAGATAACGCTTATCTGTTAACAGCATATCGGGCACCGAAGGAGATTTGATACCAGACCGCCAGCCCTTCGGGCCTTTTTTCTGTCTCAAGAGGACAGATCAAACGAGGCGCGAAATTTGGGTGAACTGCACCACATGCTGCTGCACGACTCGTTAATCGACGAAGGATGGGAAAAAAGCGAACATAAACAGGAATGATAGTCAATTCCCGCCCTAACGAAGCCTGGCCTCACCATAATGTCGATGACGATGTCCCTGCCCGAAAACGCGGACAAAATCAACGCGATCAGCGTCCAGATGATGGACGCCCAGGGGAACTCGCTGTTCGTTCACGTAGCGACATATAGCAGAAACGGCCCGAGAAGACACAGGTGGTTTGATCATCGACGGTTGCATTCGACACGAGATGCTCCAGACCACGCGAAGCAATGCGCGCTGCTCTGACGATGCAACGAACGTTGAGTGATGTCACACCACTACAGTACTACAGGACAATTATCACTCAGTGACTCTCGTCTATCATATGATGTACTGGCCAGCTATCGCGTGATCGTTCGCTCAAGACTATTTAGCCGAATTTCTCCGAAGACGTGAACGAACGGCGAATCAACTAGTGACGGCTGTAGGGTGCACACGGTCCGAGCCATGAACCCCGCGCAGGGGTCGAGTCTCAAAGCGCGGCAGCTCAGTGAGTCGCCGCGCGTGCCTGTTGTGTGTCTAACTTAGCCACCGGTCAACGGACGCCACAGCTATCACGGTAGGTAGTGATCGTTGTAGTCTTTACTCAGACAAAAGAAATTCTTCGTGGTGACCGGTGCTATTGAAAATAAAGTCAGGGGTGTATGACTTTGATGCGCCGACTTGACACGCTACCATAGCCGCGTCCTAACGTTCGCGCGTGGTGTGCGCTTGCACAGCCGAACGTTTCACTGACCTGGTGGTAATGCCGGTGGACAACGACTGTTCAGCGGCCGCCATCGTGACCGGGGTGCCCTCGGTGAAAACGGTCGTTGTCATGATACCCCAGGCGATCATCACCTGAAGGATGACGACCAGGATCGTCATCCGCACCAACGCGGACGGAGTTGGGACGGCCATGTCCAAGATTTCCGAGAAGTTCATGTTGAATGTTGTTGTTGTCTTGTCTTTTCTGTGCTGTTGCAGAGCAATAGTCTAGAGAGAAGGGGGAGGAGATGGAGTTGTGTGCTGGTGTGGGCGACCCAAAGGCGGCGCGTCTGTCGCGCGTCGGTTGCGGTTCGGGTTGACTCTTGCGAGTTAACCTATAGACTAGTCGCGTGCGGTTCAGGCTGACTCTTGCGAGATAACGTATAGATAGTCGATTGTGGTTCAGGCTGACTCTTGCATAGACGGTGCCACCGTTGTCCCAGCTTTGGCTCTTTCCAGCAGCAGACGGTGCCGACTCTTTTAGTGTTCTTACTAACGTACATGACGGATCCCATCTCTATCCGCAGATTAGAGTCCACAGGACTTTGTAAGGGGCATGTTCTGGAGTCGTCTGTTGAACCAACACCGTCGAGCAAATGAAGGCGGAGAAACACAGGATTCTACACTGTACAGGCAGTAGTAATCTACGACTACAGGCGTACCCTAGGTACCTTTCTGTCAAATGCTCTTTGTTTGAAACGGCCCGGATACGATATTTGGCGATAAAATGTAGGTTACGTGTACAAAATGTATAGTGGAGAGCCCAAGGTATGGGTCTCAGCATTCGACGTATACTGTAGACTGTATTCGACATCTGGACTGACTGTATCGCGGTGCCCCTATCGTATCGGGTCATCCCATATGATCTCCTGAGAAAAGCAAGCAAGCGTATCAGATCGCGACTCCACGAACAAAAAGTTGTGGGTGTTGGATGCATCTACTTCTTCCGTTCCTCCGGCTACCGCCACCTTCAAGATCTTCTAAAAGATCTCAAGGGGGTGGGGGTTGGGTCCGTTCGCGTTTCCTGGTCCATCGAGACTCTGGACGAAAGAGGACACACCCTGCCGGCCTACATGCATACAGAGTCACAAGCTGATTATCTCGAGTCCGGAAACTGCTGCTGAAACGCCAAATTGAAGGAACACGTCAACTTTGGGTTTCCAGCTTCCATTGTCCTCTGCCACTTCTTTTTCTACTCTTCGGTTTGTTCTACTGTTCTCCCTCTCTTTTTGCGCGCTCTTTTGGCCATGAAGACAATCCAATGTGCCCTTTACTCCTTTTTGCCATGACGGTGGACGTCGACTCGTCACAGAAAAATGTGGAGGGCCGTGAACCGTGAACCCCTATTTCGTAGAACCTGGTTGCCATTTTCGTAGAACCTGGAGATCTGTCCATTTTTTGGAGATCGGTTGTTCACTCGCCCTCCGCACTCCGCACCAGTTGCCTTCCGCGCTAGGAGACAGCTCACAGGTTCAACGCCAGCTTCTGTCTGTCGACGCCTGCTGGTTTCCTTCTTGAGGTGATGGCTTCATCTGATTACCGGTGCCCCTTTCAGAGCGTCCGAATTGCATCTGATTGCGACACACGCCGCTGGACTCCGCGGAGTGTATGTCCGTCTGCACAGCACCGAGTCTACGTGTTGTCTACATCTACATACCAGTCTGCGTTGTTGCGTTGTAGACGCGCAGCCGTTGCTCTCATGCTCTTTGAAGCAACCCAGATAACAGGAAGGACAGCACATGTGGCCGTTCGACGTACAGCAGGGTTAACAATGATGGTATTTTGAGGGTCACATCTCGGGGCGAGCTGCCGTGCCTGTAATGTGGTTTGGCAGACGCAGCAGCGGCAGACGATGTAGACTATGCATTGGACTGTATGCACCATTAGCCGGTAAATGTAGACAGACTGCTGTGTCCCACCCAAGGTGCTCAGGGTACGACTGAAAACCGTGCTTCGTTTTGCTTTGGCCTCTGTAATGACGTTCATACATGCGTATGGCCGCCCAAGTGCAGGCGTAACTCAATCACTAATTCGCGATTTTTGCGGACTCGTACAAACATGCCGTCCGCACAGGACGCGTGGGAACTCGCTCTACAAAAGAATCATGGCCAAGACTCGGGCGTGGTTTGAAGGCGAGCTCCGGCGCATGCTTGGCTTTGATGAGGTGCGGTGAACACTGGTATTGTGTTGGACTAGGGCGTCGGCGCTTGTCGAACACTCTTCAGACACGGAGGCTGAATACTGAATTGAAAACCCACGCCGAAAGAGATGTGAGCCTCGCCCACCGCGCACCGGTTGCAGCAGGGCCCACTCCACGCTCCGCCCGGCGCGCCTGCTGGCCCTTGTAGCCGTCGTCACAGTCAAAGCGAGCAAAACCCCCGGTAGATTCAGGGCCATCGTATCTACCGGCAAGTTTCTTCGCGCCATATTGAGAGAAGTGTGTAGGCACTCGTCATAGTGTTTGTATTGAACCGCAATCAGGAATGACCATGCCACACTAAATCATGTTATATATATACTCACAGGTTGGTCGTCGTGACGTGATACATTTCTTCTTATTAGTATGGAAAAAAATAAAAAATAGATGGCTCGACTTTTGTATTTCTACAGCAGTATGGACCAGACGCCGACTGTACATAGAAGTTGCCGAGTGTCGACTTAGTTGTGCTGTCACAGCATCTTCCACGCACTTCTGCCAGTGCTGGTTTGTTGGTTGGAGTCTTGGTAGGTCGGAGAAACAGCAGTGGGATTCTCGGGGTGTGGAGGCAAAGTGAACCAGAGCAAAAAATTGCATGCATAGCTCGATTACTCCTTCTGTGTTTTTGCAACAGCAGTATGGACTAGACGCCGAACGACGTCCGCGTACTACCGCAACGACCTAACTGGATGGGATGCTTCCTGCCACGGCGAACCATAGTACAAATGCGATGCAAACATCCGTTCGTGTGTCGCGCGGCTGCCACATGTGTCGACGACAGGGACACGTAGAGCTCTCGCCATGTTTTGTCGTTACCGCGCAGGAGGACCTCTCGGAGATCTTCCACATGGTGCTACAACGACAGCAGTACTACTGTACATAGATGTCGTAGGAGAGTGGAGTTGTGCTGTCACGGCATCTCCCACGCACTCTCCTACCGGTGCTTGTGTCGATTGGAGTCTTGTAGGCCGAAATACAAGAGTGGGTTGGGCTCCCGGGTTGTGGAAGAACCTGCCTGCAACAACAGAGAAGGCCGTGTTCTATTTACTACGACAATCCCGCTCAACTTTTTTTTTTTTGCGGCATGTGGTTGCATATTTTTCTTTGCCACTGCCGAAAAAGACCGCTGGATCTTTACGCAGTCCATCTTTCGCATTTATCATTTTACACCGCGAACGACGCAGGACGGAGCGACCTTCATCATTGTTGTTGTTGTTGTGTCTTCACATTAAAAACCTTCATATGCCCGTACTTACTTGTGGATTATCTGTTGGATATTGTGGGAATCCCTTCATTCCGAGAGAGCGATAATAGGTCGGCATCCAGCCTTATTTTCTTTTTTTGTATGCACTTTTAAGGAATAATAAAAACACACACAGAAAGACTACCCATTCGAGATATACCCACTTTTCTTCTTGTGAAGTTTTGACGTTGCGCTTGCCATCGTCGCTTAAGTGTTTGTGTCTTCAAACCTTCTCAGCCGGCCTTCAAACTTCTTGTTGATAAGTCTCCGTGGTAACTTCTCCGCGCATGAGTCAGAAGTATGTAGTTATGACCTGCGCTTTGACTTTCACGATGGGTATTTTACCCCACCGTCTTGCACATTATTGGTGAGTACCTGCGTTATACGAAAGGATCGTTCCACGACGCAAACGTCGACGTCTCCTTTTTTTTTTTTTTTCCTTCGCACTCCTTCCTTGCTGCGGTTTTCACACCGACTTCGAACGTGGGGTGCAATTTCCTCTCTTCGTACCTTCCTCGTCGGCCTTTTCCATCGTTATGTACATAATGTACATCTCGATTTTTCGACTTTTCGATCCATCGAATAGACAAGACTACGGACTGACATGTATGTCCCTTTCACCCCCGACGGGACCGCGCGCTCGTCGAGTGCCGAGATTCTTCACCACTTCCTTGCCTCTCCCAACACCGTCCTTTCTTCCCGCCCCTATTAATCATCTCCCCTTCTTCTTCTTCTTCCCTTCCTGCCGGATACTCACCACCATCGGTCCTGGATGTTGGCCCCCAGCCCCATTGGGGGGCGGGGGGCCAATCCTTAACCCTAGCTAGTAGTGTACCGTGCGCTACTCTCCCGTCTCCCGTCGTCAACCTTCCCTCAGGTAGAAGAGATCGCGAGGTTTGCGCAGGACAGCTTCCCGGTGTCCCAGCCCGTTGAGCTTAGGCAGTACCTTGAGCGGGTTATCGGATTATTGTCCGAGCCGACTCCCCTCTGTGGGTTTCTCTCGCAATATGTCTTTTGCGAAGCGCGCTGAGGGACGTCGCGATATCTCTCTTTAGTCACACGCCAGCATGCGAATATTTGAAGCTTTTCGTTGCGTGGTCGATTATTGTGACACACCGTCTGCTTACCGGCATGAAAAGAACGTCCCGGACCCTACCGTGTCTAACTTTCCCCATTCGTTGAAGTGTGATAGACTACATGTAGGCGCCTCTACACTGAAAGAGAACGAAGTGTCGGCTCATGTAAGACGTACTTCGAAGTACGTTGCACAGAGCAGTTTTCCTCCCAACCGCATGCAGAGCAGGGTCACATCAGCGGCCAAAATCTATGTTATTACCGGCTGCGATAAAACCGCCAACGTATTCTACCAGTGGCGCTCTTCTCTGGAAAAGGACAACGCACGTGTCTGCTAGCTTCTTTTTGGATTTCCTTGTGTGCGACACACCCACATAATAGCCATTCGGCAGCACGCTCGAAGAGTCTGAATCCCCGAGACTGTTGGCTGTTGACCAATAAGGTTGACTGGGATCGCAGATCTCGTAGATCTGCAATCCGACCAAAACCTGCAAATCGTCTGTCGGTGCTGTGCGTTTGTGTATACAATGTATGAGTCCTCTAGACTACTCTTTCGAGGATCATAGGATCATTGACCCTCGAAACTACCTTCCTCTTGCTCTCCATCACCCTTTCTCCCGAGAAATCGCAAACAAAGGGGTCCAATTCCGGAGCAACCGGTTG